TATAAACTTCCTTAGAAACTTTATTTCTGAAAAGTATGAAAGGCAGCTTATTTTGAACCCTGTTCTGCTCTGCCTACTTCCAACATGAACGGGCACTATGTATATAATCCATCAGCTACTATTTTCTGGAGAATCTGTTCATCTTTTTTATTCTTTCCGCCATATTCCACTTGACAAAAATCTGCAATCATGTAAACAGAGGCTGTCTGGAAAACATAATGGATGCAGCTGCACTTGAATCTGAGAAAACAATACCTATTATCTGCAAGTTGAAAATATTTACAATAGTATATATCGACAGCTCACAGAGGACAGATGCCTAGAGCATAGCCTAAACAGACTTCCGTTCATTACATGAAATAATGTTACAAACAGCTCATACTGCAACAGCTGCCTGCAGTTCAGTATGCCTTCAACAGGATCACTTTAGTGCATGGTTATAGATTCAGCTTGTTTTTGTTTTAGACCAAGTGTATTTTGCAAGCTATGTATGATGCGTGCATATGCCTAAGTATAGCATATGTTGTTTATGAGCTTTTAATCTTTCTTCACTCAAGGCAGTGATGCACCCCCTGCAGTTTAAAGTGTTCCATCTGTGTCACTTGTCTACAGTGGTAGATTTGTATCTTAGCAGAGTTAGAAGAGATATCTTCAATCTTCTTGTGACAGTTGCACAGCATTTCAGGCTGACAGCCCTTGTCAAATCAACAACAAAACCTACGCATCTCGCACTGCTAATTTTCCAGAAAGGATTTAAAAACTCCTAACAGTGCAGAGAACTGTTACTTCCCCGCACTGCAGCATTTGGCCAAAGGACAGATATAATATGCTGAACCTGTCCTACAATACTGTGGAGGTCCCAAATAAGACAAAATAGAGTGTTTTGAAAAATGCATACTAACAGTTACCCTGAATAGCGTAATGACCAGAAAAATTAATTCAGGAATGCACAATACCTAGAGAAATCCCTGGAGTTGCCTGTTATTGTCTTACCAGCCCAGCTACAATTTTCATTTAGAATTGTGCCATATTAACTGAACAATTGTTTAGCAGAAGAAGACCATAATCTTAGGTCTTATTACTTTGTTTTTGTCTGCCCTATTTTTTTTCTACTGTAAGTTTATAGTTTATCACACACATACCCACGCATATAATATATATATATATATACATGCATGTACTCATCTGTACATTCACACACAGATACACAAGTAGAATTTAAAAAGTGTATGATAGTTCAAAATGTTCACATCAAAATAGAAACATTTCAGCAGGTCCAAATGGCAAAGTGTTTTTTAACTACCTGCACTTCTGCCATTTCAATTTCAACACATAAATCAGTTATACTATCCACTGAAGAAGGAGAAAAATACAAAGAGATTATTTGTTAAACAACTATTTTAAGTTCCTATAAAATATTGTTCTTCACTGGGAAAAGTATTAAATATAATATTTTTAATTCTGGTTTAATAATAATTATCTGCTTTTGTTTCAAATGTCACTCAAAACATTTTTTTTTTTTTTTTTTAACTCAGAGGAAACAATTTAAAACCAAAAGACCCTTGAAAGAGTCCAATATCCCTTGAGAGGAAAACCCTGCACCACTGGTAGAGAGTTTACATTAGGGCACTTTTCAGTAAATAGTTACTGAGGACATTCTGTAATGGAGATCAAAGAACATACAGTGTAAAAGCATAAGACAATTTATCATCAAAAAATAGACTTCATAACATTGGTTACATGCATTACTACAAGAAATGTATTACATATGTACATAGTGCTAACATCTATTTTACCATGAAAGTGCGATTCATATCAGCCTTTTAAAAAGTCTTCTGTATTTTCAACTAGCAGTTTCAACTTTAAGGTACTATTTTATACTTTCATTTCATGAGTACCATTATTTCCAATATTTTTTTCAGGAATTCTAATAAGCTCATATCTGTTAAGTAAATTAAAAAAAAAAAAAAAAAAAAAAAGACAATTCCTCTATGATCACAGAATGATACTAAAAAGTCTCATTCGTTGGTATAGTAAAATTTCAAATTGTCTTTTAAAATATATTAAAAAAAATGGTAAGTCAAATTAAAGCTTGGAATAACCAAAGTAGAAACTATTTGTCCAGTAACTAAATACCAGTTGTTAACTGCTGCTAGTGATTAATGATGTGCTTGGCAAATTATTATTGAATTTAATTCCAATACATCTATGAATTTAATTCCAATACATCTATTCATTTCTATAATAAAATTCAGACATTTAAAAGGAAATGAAAGATCAAACCCACAAGCACAGAAAATAATAATCTACAGGAGCAAAATCTTTACTTGAACAAATTAAATATTCTTTTCTCTTCAAGGAAAAGTTATTGTGATGGTTATCATACAACTCTGACTGTAAATTAAGATCTTTATTCTTTTAACTATGCTTTTAAATTACTTTTTAAAAAAGTAATAATCCAACAGTTCTGTTTCTGACCACATTGATTAAACAAGAAATGACAGGAATTATGATAATCACAGAATCACGGGGCTTTGAAGGGACCTTAAGAGATCATGGCAATCAACTCCCTCTCTAAAGCAGGTACCTTGCAACAGGTTGCACAGGTAAGCATCCAGATGGGTCTTGCATATCTCCATAGAATGAGACTCCCCTCTGGGCAGCCTTTTCCAGTGCTCTATTGGCCTTACAGTATAGTTCTTCCACATATTAATATGGAACTTGCTATGTACACATTTTAGTTCATTACTCCTCATCCTATTGTTACACACCATGGTGAGAATCAGTCCCAAGAGAAGCAGACATTTTAACCAAGGCTGGAATATTTCTACAAAGTTGTTTATACCAATAAATTGAACAATTGCATTTAATACTTCATAATTAACCCTATTTTTGAGAACAGTGACAATTTCTGATCAATGTGAACTAGGAAAAACTTATAATTTTCAATTTTTGTTTAACAGTTGAAAACATCTAAATTGACAAAGGCAGCAAGTAGTTGAGTTGCTTATTTTTATTTTTATTTTTATTTTTATTTTTATTTTTATTTTTATTTTTATTTTTATTTTTATTTTTATTTTTCGGAGTTCCTTGAAATGTGCATAAAACTGTGCAGATGTACTTCCCTGCAGCAGACACTCTAATCTTTGTTCAGTGTATTTTATAGGATTATGACTACACCTAAAGGATACTGAAGGAGTTACTTTTGTGTAGCAGCATACAATGATGGGTACACAGTCTATGCCTTCCATAAAGTTCTCCAAAATATTGCCATGAATATTAAAAAAAAAGTTAGACAAGAAGGTCTTAAAGAAGGACTGTAAATTTTCTGTTAAGGCTATGCAGTGAAAGATGACTTTCAGCACAGGGGCCTTGAGCAGCTAGATGGACAGGACACAACAAAAAGACTTAGCAGTCTTCCTGGTAAAATGATTCTGGGAGAAGCTCTTTATTTCCTTTATATCACTTAAGTACTACTAGGATAATTTTTTTTTGTGAAAAAAAGAAAGTCTTAACTTTCTCAGTTTCCTGTTGATAGAGAACTTGTAATATATATAGCCTACATTTAAAAAATTACTAAGATTAGACTCATATAGTTAACAAGTTCGGGAGTGCTTCTTATTGTGGCAGTCTCAACTGATCCAGTTATGGTTGCAGTTGCTTGAAATTGCCTGTTCTCAGTCATAGTAAATAAAAGCAACACTAATTATTGTATATAAAAAAGAACATTTAACATGAAAGCTTGATATCTCTGCAATGTAAAACAATCTCAAAGACCACTCAAATCATCCTAAATTCTGCAATGTTGTTACATGTGACTACATTGTATTTCAGATGCTCTCAACAACCTTTGAGACAGCCACATGCTCTATTTAAGCAATCTCCCTATAGGAAAGGTACTTCTCTTGAAGCCTCCTAAGTATCAGACAATAAGACAAAAGAATCCCTTGACCACCTCGATGAAGAACAGTTTACAGAAATTATTGGAATTCTTAAAATATACTTGTCATTTATTAAATTGAGAACTATTTTGTTAATAATTTCATCAGTTATGGTTCTGCAGAAAATTCAACCTGCTTTGATTTCCACACACCCAAAATTGCATACTTTTTGAGGAGAAAAAATAATTTTGGCTTTTCATCATCAAGTATGCCTCAACCAAGAAGGCTAGAATTGCACGTGATGTATCTTTCAGATCGTAAGATGGAAAACCATGATTGAAGCAATTCGCAATTCTAAATTACGTTGTGCTGTATTCACTTAATTCTTTTGTGCAGGTTAATTTGCATCTTTGTAGACCACTTACCTAGAAACTTCAGATGAGAATCTTTTTTTTTTTTAATGTAAAACCAGAACAAAAGAGCCATTTCTTCTGGCATTAGTAAACTTGAAAATATCGAGTTTACTCCAACACCTCTATCCTTCCAAAAATGTTTATTAGGAATGAAGAGTGCTAACAAATCAAGAAAACATACATATTACTAATCTATACTGAACAGCACTCCTTGAAATGTGAAGTCTAGAAAGAGACCTGAATTTCCAAAGATGTATACAGCTTTTTCCAAGTGGTACTTCTGCATTTAACTCACTTAAAGTAAACTTCAAAGAAGTCGTTGTCTTGATGCCTGCTAACATAAATATAGAAAGACATTAACCTGTGAAATTGAAAGTGATGCATAGACATATGAATTCTCATTATTGACAGCTTCCTAAAGCCTTTGTTAAACTCTACAATGTTTTGAGATTAAATTCATTGCAAAAAAAAAAAAAAAAAGAAAAAGAAAAAAAATAGGAAAAAAGAAAACAACACTATTAAAAATTATCATGGAAAAGAAGCAAATGAAAACAAGAACACTATTAAAAAGAGTAATTGTGGAAAAGCAGCAAATGAAAAATATGACAAGTTTTGGAATGTATAAGAAATGGAAAACAATACTGAAAAAAAAAAACCAAAAAACAAAAAACCCCACACCCCAAAAACCTATAATCTTGGATATTGGTGAATTTGAAAGAAATGCATTTATATTTCCACACCTGATGCACATCAACTTTGTATTTCTGAGTAGTGGCCAGACCATAACAATATTAATGATTAAGAAGCCACAACCTCAGAAAAGATGGAAGAAAAAAAATAATAGTTTTGAGCAAAGTAATCATATTTTAGAAAGAAAATTTTAGAGGTTAATTATAGGCTAATGAAAAACTAGCATAATTTTCCCATCTTAGATATACGTTCACAGGTAGTAGAAAAACAAGACTTATTATCCTATTTTTAATATTTTACAATTCTTGAAGGAGTATGATGACAGCTCTTTCCAACTAATCTATAGTGGGTCTGATTCTGATCAGGTTCAGTGGAAGAAGAATGCTATCTCCCTAACATCTAAGTAGCACTGTAGTAAAGCGATTTAAAAACCCAAAATTAGTGTTGCAATACATACCTTCAAACTCATGAAAAAGATGACTGAATTCCACATTGAGAACACATCCTGTAGCCTGAACAGTTGCTTGAACAGAAAAATACAGATATTCAGTACGTTCAACAGGATTAAGTGGAGCCTGATGCTTAGAGTGTGCCCACGCAATTACAGCTCACCAGGATTTTTGGATTGCAAGGTACAGTTTCAAACAAGCACATGTGCTTGCATTTGTATAGTTCTATTTAGCACTTAACATTTAACATTTCAAGTTGACTTTCTTCTTTGGAACTGATATATGCAAAAGAAGAGCAGACAATATTGTCAGGCAAAAGATATCAAAAAGAAAAGTTCCTTATGCAGGATGTCACTTTTATACATAATCTGAGTATGTCATCCATAGTATATTTGAGATATACAAATATAAAAAGATGTTACTTTTAAGTCTGAATACCTCCCATGACCTGCATTAGAAATTACAAAGAATACTCCATGCTTTGAAGGGCAGGCAAAGAAACGTGTTTTTCTTATTCAAAAGAATCACTATTGCAATGGAGACACTTAAAGGAAAGTTGGGAGAGAAATAGAATAACTTAGTCACAGAATACAAATATAATTAATATTGTAGTACTGATAAGGAGTTATCTTTTTCATTCAAATTCAAAGTCAAATAATTTATATTATCAAACATTTGTACAGGTGCTGATATTAACAATTTTTTTGCATTTTACTATACAGAATAATGGTGTAAACTGAGGTTGCCTGGGATGTTTTAACTTCTTTACATTCAGATCTCTCATTTCCTAAACTTCTTCAGACAGTTCATATTCTTACTTTATTATTTGGAGATTATTTTTTTCAGACCCAAGATACTAAGACTGTGATTTAATACTAATGATATACAGACAAAGATCTTCTAGTTCACCTATTCAAAATCAAAGGTGAAATAGATTCTTATTATTATTAATTGTATGAAAGTTGTAACATATTAGCATAGGATGAATTATTTACTGGAGCCACTACTTACGCCCCTGTTTAACATATAATTTAACCTATTGTAGGAAAAATTCTAGAAATCAATGTCACTATCCTCATACTTGATATAAAAAAATACCAAGAACAAAAAAAAAATACAGAACAGTTAGAACAATACAGTTTCAAATATGTACATTTTTACATTGTTAAAAGCAGTCATTTTTCCAAAACATCATATGTGAATTAAGTCCATTGAGATTCTGATGGGAATGATTTGCATGATGGGAAAAAGAAGAGTAGAATATGATCCAGAGTAACCATACAAATATGTGAAACATTTTTCCCAACATTTTAATGAGTTGACAGATGTCTTGTTCCAGTGAAGCAAACACATCACTGCTTCTATATAGCCAGTATGTTAAGTTCTCATAATATGAATCTCTACATGTTACAAAGATATGCTTGAAAGAATTCATTTTCAGGCCCTTTTAAAGAAGCATTGATTGCAAATGCATTAATGCCAGTCAAAAGAATGATTAACCATTCTGTAAAATTTTGCATTGTGCTCTCTGAAGTAAGAATAAAGTTGTTCTAAAACAGTGTTGTTAACAAGAGGATGGGGTCGCCCTTTGGATTCATGTAAACATCTTTCTCTTCCATCACTTCGAATGCAATAGAATCCCTTAGTTTGGTTAAAATAAAAATTAGAAGACATAATTCGGGAAGGAAGATTCAGAAATCTCTCAACTTTTTGTAATTCAGGAAGAGGGTCCTTGATTAAAGTATTGCCATCCACTATATGAATCTGATCCAAACTGAAATGTTTAAGCCACTTTTCCATATGAACATCATATAAACTTCTCTGAATAGCTTTGTATTTGGTATTAAGTGCTCCATTCTTAATAACAATATCTTCAAAAAGCTGAACAGGCTTGTGACTTTCTACTCTGTTGTAATATACTTGGGTATAGTCAGATATAACTCTCTCAGTGGGATCTCTCAGAATGAGCAGCAGCTTAATGGAGCTATTCATGTCATGAATTCTTTCTGGAGCCTGTGGTGATGTAAAATAGCCTGGTGTTTTCTCAATAGTAATTTGATTTCCATACGAAAATGGCATCAAACTCCTATACCAGTCTATTCCTTTCACATAATTTTCATCCCAGTCAAAAAAGTGGACTTCTGTAGCTGCTACAACAATATTAGGATGAATATCCAACATTTCCAGCAAAGCCCTTGTCCCTCCTTTACGAACTCCAATGATAATTGTCTGAGGTATTCGTCGGCTTGTGCCAGGAGGTCTCACCTGTGCTGAATAGTGTTCACTTTTATTGCTGAATAATCCTACCTGTGACTTCAGTGTTTCTAACAGTGCCCCATTCTCTACAGGAGCACCCTGAGTATGAGTCAGCAGAAAATAAGCTGACACCAGAAGAAAGGCCATGTGGAGAAGAATAATTAGTTCAAGATAATACTGCGTTTGATTAATGAAAGAATAGATCGGTCCCTTCTTGAGTTGGTTGGCAGAACCAGCGGTAAACAAACAGCAGTTTTCTGAAGCATCTGCAAAATAAAATAAGTCAAATAAATATTTCTAAATCCATCACAAATTGGAAATTCAATTTTCCATTCAATTAACAAATCCAATCATAATAGAAAATTTATCTATCTGTTACAGTTACCTGTTTTAGCTGGCTTTTTTTTTCCTCAGAAGATGATGAGAAAGATGAAAAAGAAGAAAGAAAATGAGGATGGTGATGATGAGGAAAAGCAGATGAATAATGGCGTTGCAAAGCAGGAGTGCTGTGCCTTTGTTGAATCAGTGTGGGGAAAAAAAAAGTAAAATTGATGTGACAGGGTGATTTCTTTGCAGCTAGTGCTAGCAAAGTGCTATGGAGTGTAGCCATTCAGGTGTTAGGAAAACCTTGGTAAAAACAGGTCTTTCAGTATAATTCTGCAGTCCTTCTGAATCTCTGCTGTAAAAGAAATGCCTAGATTCTTTCCAAATTAAAAATGTTGTAGGGAAGTAAGTGTGGTTGAAGTTGGATGCCCTCTTTTTTCTTCATCCAGTTATTCTTCTGTCATTTTAAAGTGGGTACACATGCACACGTAAGTGAAATGTCACTGTAACTGTGTTGCTAGTCTTTGGAATCTCTTGGGAAGGTTTTGTGTGTATTCACAGAATCAATCACAAAATGGCTTAGGTTAGAGGGGACCTTAAAGATCATTTTCAGTTCCAAAACCCCTGATGTCAGCAAGGTTGTCACCCACTAGAACAGGCTGCCCAGGATTCCATCTAAATGGGGCATCCACAGCTTCCCTGGGCAGCCTGCTCCAATGCTTTTGAATGAACAATTTGCTTCTAACATCTAATCTAAAACTTCTCGTTACTTTAAAACTGTTCACCCTTTTCAAACCGCTATCAGACCATGTAAAAATTCAGTCCTCCTGATTATTGAGTTTCTTTTAAGAACTGGAAAGCTGCAATGAGATCCCTACAGAGCTCTCTCTTCTCCAGGCTAAACAAGCCCAACTTCCACAACCTTTAGGAGAAGCGCTCCAGCTCTCGGATCATCTCTGTGACCCTCCTCTGGATCTACTCCGACACCTCCATGACTTTCTTGTGCTCAGAACCCCAGGCCTGGACACAGGACTCCAGATTGGACTTCATGAGGGCAGAGGGGATGATGATCCCCTTCATCCTGCTGCTGTCCCTATTTTGGTGCAGTCCAGGATACTGTTGACCTTCTTGGCTGCAAGCACATCACACCCAGCTTTTCATCCACAAGAACCCCAAAGTTCTCTTCTGCAAGGCTACTTCTCAAAAAGTTCTTCCACTCTGTACTCATATCTGGATTGTCCTAACCCAAGTGCACTAGCCTGCAGTTAACCTTATTGAATCTCATCAGGTTTTTCTGGGCCCAATTTTTAAATTTATATATTATAATATTTTGATATTGTAATGCTGTTTGAAATGTATTGCTAGCCATCACAACAATGCTGATAAAAGAAAAAAAGTTCAAATCAGTGCAATACTTGTACTAGAGACACTATTCTTGGAATGCCTGTTCCCATGCCTGAAAAAAAATCTTACAAAGGAAACTTATTTGAGAGGATTCTTGGAATTTTCCCATTTCTCAGCAAATATACAGTTTATAAAAAGACAGTTGTGAGGTTTGCATGATACATCTATTTCCTTAATTTGTTTTGGTTTTAGTGCGGAAACAAACTTTAATTCAGTGAAGCAGTAGTTATTTTAAACCAACTGATTTTGGATGCTATTTGTATGATGGCTCATATTTTAAAGCCATCTCAGAAATACTAAAGCCTTAGCTCCTTCTTTGTTCCCACTGTCAGTCTCTTTCTTTTTCTGAATACACTGTTCACAATACTTTGCCTCTTAGAAAAAACCTTAGAGAACACAGCCAATTCCCATTTGTCATGGCTCCGAGGAGCACTTAGTGTTGCTATTCAAAAGTTTTTTCCTTTGAGGCTTATTTTACAGTAAAAAGTAACAAAAACATTTTTGATAATAACAATCTAAGCAAGATTCCCTGAATCTATTTTCTAAATCTTCCCATTAAAACATACTCCAGCATCCTTGATAACTATGGAATGACCTTTTGGAGTCTTGATTGACTTCTAAACTCACAGATAGCAAGTATTAACACTTAATTTTAAAATTGACTATTTAAAAGTGAACTGTGACCTTTAGTGAATAAATCTTTGCAAAGCATTCCCTACTATGTCCAAGGAAGACCTAAGCATGGCTATTTGAAAAAAAATATTACTTCAACTAGGTAAAGTGGATGAGCATACACTTACTAAATACTGGAAAAGTCCAGATCTAAATTGAGTTTTTAAACCAGAAACAGGAAAAAAAAAAAAAAGATTTTTTTACCAACATGAAAGAAGAATTGATTTCAAAGGTAATAGGCTTTTAACTAAGAACTCCAGGTAGAAGTTCTGTTTAAAGAACAGGGAATGCAAATATTTCTGTGGAAATTACCAGATGGAAGAACAGGTACATTTATGCCAAATCCATTTTGTTTTAAGAATTACTGCTTTTTTTGGGTAGGAAGTTTGGGAAATAGTAAACATGCTGAAGAATCAAAATGCATTCTGCTATAAATGACAGTTAGTGTCTGTTGATTTTGAGAAGCTCTTAAAGAGTGTACAACACTGCACATGTTGTTTAAGGCATTACACCCTAGGTGACTCAAAAAATATTGGCCTTCAAATTCCAAGCATGTTTGCAAGCAGTGACTTTGCTTCGTTAATGCCAAGCTTTTTGGCAAATTCAGAATTTATTGTTTGACAACCTTCTTAGACTTCGTATTTACAGTAAGGACAAAGCTACACATCAGTTGCTTTTAGAAGCATTTCCTCTCTTAGCTGGAAAGAATATACAGCAATATTGCTGCAATTCTGTAATTTCAGTAAGAAGTAAGGAGGGGAGCTGGGAAACGGATAATATTTTAACCTTTTCCAAAACTTTAGCATTAATTTACATTCTAATCTTTATTCTAAAATTAAAATTATTTGAAGAAGATTGAGGAATTATGGTTGTAAATCCGTTTTTTTCAATTTACCTTTTTTGTTCTAATATTTACCTCATATTATTTGATAAAGGCAAGATCAATCTGAATATTGGGCAAGAAAGCACTGCCTTGCAACTACCATGAAGTAGTAAACTAATTTAAATAATTTAATTTAATTTCCAGAACTATCCCATTCAGTTTTAAAAACTGATTCTTAACAGACATGTTAGGCATCTCTGACTAATCAGATTAAAATGTTTTTAGAATTATAGATAAGATATATTCTTGAGACTGACTAGGATAATAGAAAAGGATCTGAGTTTTGGATCTCTGCAGTAGAATGGACAGGGGTGAGTTCATCTTATGTTGATGATTCACAGTGATTGATGAAAAACATTCAAACTTACTGATATTTTTTTTAGTAAAATAAAAATTCAGTGAAATAAATGCCACAAACTTTGCTTATATGGCTTCACTCAGCTAAGAATCACACATAAATACTGTGATTCAGAGAAGTCTGAAAGCTGAATAAAAAATTTATACTTGGAATTAGGGAAAAATTTGTCTTTCAAATATTTTTGGGTTTACATATAATAACAGTGAATGACTGTTTAAATGACCATCTAAAAATCAGCACTTCTCTATAATAACACATTTGGAAACCAAGTAACAGGAGACACCATGTTTCCTATACACCAAGTATTAGTAGCATTTTTGAAAACAATCATTAGTTTAACAAGTTTTCAATTCATTAGTTTTAGTATAGTGGAAATTTCCTAGACTTATTGCTATGAAAAAAAAAAACCAAAAAACTTTACCTAGGAAATACTACCAGAAGAAAATATTAATTCAGAATGCGCTGCAAAGCTGATGCCTAAATAGATCAAAATTGCCTTTGGGAGCAATTCCATCAGAACAACATTCCAGCTTCAGCCTAAGAGATTTGATTGATTTGATGAAGCTCTAAGATGTTAGATCCTGTGGTTAGGTTATAATTGCTACATAAATGTAAAAAGGATTTAAACATGATTTATCAAATATAATTGGAAGGTTATTTGAATAATTTTTGTGCTGCTTTTCTGTCTTCATGCAATTAAATGCACATTTTTAGAAGATATGAACTGCTTTTTATAATGAAACCAATATATTTTACATTGCAGTACTGTGTACTTGGAATTTCAAAATATTCCTATTAGCCATATGGAACATAACCAAAAAATTAACTCCACGATGCATTATTGGAGTTATGGTACCATACTACATGTTTATTTGGCAGTTTTTGTGTTGCTTAGTAACACAGGGAACATCAACAGATATGATACTTAAGCAGATGTGAAGTTCAGAAAGAAATTTGCACCGTGGAGATAACTGTTTAAGTGAATAGCAACTTGTGATTTTGTTTGGTTTACTTTTTTAAAAACTAAAGCAGCAAATGCACTGGCTGAAAAATCATTTTAATATAGCAGAAATATTCTAAAAACCTTTAATTCCTGCAATCTATGGTTAAAAAAAAATCTAAATTGCTAATTATTTACCTTGCTTCAGGGTGAAGTACAATATCATAGGGTAAACATGCCTATATTATTATTACTTATTGCTAACATTATAAATGAGTATAATACACTCTCCACAGCCTGTAATACTTTCAACTGGGGAATTTCACAGCACATTATATTGATGAACTCTCTTCTGCCCCCTATTAAGGCAGTATTCTCACCTTACAGGAAATTGTGAATAATGAACATAAAGTCAGTTCAGGAGTGCAAATGCTTCAGAAAGTCAGGATTAATGTGATCTCCATAAGGTCATATAACAGGTTTACAATCCAATTGAGAAAAAAGAACAAAATAGGGCTTTCAGTTCCCCACCCACTTCCAACTTTGTACCCTTTGATGGCAATCACTCATGTTATAGTAATTTACACTTGGATTACATGCAGATCTTAAAGGAAAGTATGAAAAGAAAAGAGAAGAACTCCCCAGTGTTTTAACATAAGATTGGAGTATTCTGTAGAATGCTGCA